ATGTGTGCGGGGGGGGGGGTGGGGACGTTGGACCCAAACGAAACCCTGGATGGGGTCCAACCCCTTCAAGCCGGGGGGGGGGGGGGCGGTGGCCCCCCTAGTTCCAGCGCCTATGATCGCTAGGACCCAGGAGGAGCTGGGGATGGAGCCGTGGCTGGAGTCATGCTGTCCCAGCAGCAGGAAGTGAATTGCACTGGCTACAGTGCGGCTTTGTAGCTGGGTGAATCCCAGGTTCCATTGTCCCTTTGCGAGATCCCCGAGCCCCGGCGGCTGGTGCTGGGAGCCCGGAGCCCTGGCTGCAGCCGGGAGAGGGGAATCTCCAGCAGGGCCCTTCCCGCTGACTCCCCAGGAGCCTCTCCCAGGGCAGAGCCCCCCTTCCCAGGCCCCAGCTCCCAGGGAGGGCACCGCTCGGAGGGAAGGTAAGAGAGACCTTCCCATGGCACCGTAACAGGGAACAATGTCTGCAGAGGGAGGGTCAGGAGGATCTTTCTGGCTGGCTGATCTCAGGCCTGTGTGCAACGTGCTGGGGATTTTAGTTAGTTGAGTGGGATGCTCAACTCCACCTGTTTTATTAATCGCCGCTCCTTTGGCGGGTGCTGCTGGTGGGTGTCCTTTGGCACCCTGGCATTTTCCCACCCTCGCTCGCAACTGGGGAATCCGTGTGCGTGGTAGGGTGACCAGACAGCAAGTGTGAAAAATCGGGACAGGATTAGGATCCTATATAAGAAAAAGACCCCAAAATCGGGACTGTCCCTATAAAATCGGGACATCTGGTCACCCTAGTGCGTGGCAGCCTTGCCAACCCTCCGGATTGTGCCCCGAGACTTGCGTGCTCACGGTTGTTTTCCTGAAAGCCCCATGCCCCTGGAGTCGAGTGGCGATGTGATGATTTCAGCCTTCATTCGGGAAGAAAAAGTAAGTAGCTAGCCCGCGTGGCTGCGGACCCCAGTGCACCCCGGCGGCTCGACAAGCAGAAAGCAAATAAAAATCTGTTATTTTGATACGAGCTCATGATTTTAAAGCCAATCGCATGATTTTTCGGGAGCCTGACTCATGATTTTTGAACATTTGGGGTTGGCAAGCAGGTGAGATCCCCAACGGGTGCAAACAAAATCAATGGAGCTACAGTGGCTTCACACCAACTAGGGATCTGGCTTGAAAAGTCCGTATTAACATGCCTATTTGAGTGCTGTCTTTGGGTTTCTTCAGAGTCAGCAAATGCCAGACAAAGTGGCATATATATATATATATATATATATATATACCTCTACCCG